CTCACGGGCCCAGCCGCTCCGCAGCACGTGGGATCTTCCCGGACCGGGGCACGAACCCGTGTTCCCCGCATCGGCAGGCGGACTCCCAACCACTGCGACACCAGGGAAGCCCCATATATATTTTTAATTTGATACCTTTTTCTCACTTTTGTAAAAGTGTTTAAAGTTTTGCATTTTGTACTCTTTAATCTTAAAATTTTCGATTGGTGTTATTAACTGCTATAAATGCTTAATAAAGCATTAATAAAGCACTCACTTTTCCCTGATTTTCTTTGTTTTATCAGAGTTTTTTTCTTTCTGCAGGCGGGCCATTCATTGTTGATGACAAGTGGTTGATAGAGTGATTCTGTTGAGTAAAGGCTGCCCCAAAGCTTATTAATTCTCTAGTTGTGTTGATAATTTTCTTTGTGACTTTGGATAAATCATTTAAACTCTGCACAGATTTCCTGGTCCATATAACTAGTTTCTGAGGTTTCTCTGCATTGAATGTCACCCAGGACACTAGATTTTAGCAAGTTGGCTAGCTGTTCTCATTAATGCTCATGGCACTGGTCTTCAGCTTGCATTGCTACATGCAGAATACCAATCCTGAGGGTCAAGGGGATCATTCCAGATTTAAACTCTGGTAAGCCTTGGGGGGCATGTTTTGGTCGAGATGCTGTAGGTCTGAGTTGGCGTTGTAGCCTTTGAGGCTGCATGAGAAGTATTCTTTGGTGAGAACAGGTAGGCAAAAAAAAAAGGAGTTTTGAAAGGTCTTTCTACTGGCATACCAACTGAGTAAGAATGAATGATTCTAAGACAAGAGCTACCAGAAGTCTAGTGACTTGCAAAATAATTTTGGAAGCTAGGTGGTATGGTATGAGGCAAGAGTAAGGGACTGGAGTAACATGACCTGGATTCTAATATCAAACTCTCACGTCTTAATTTTTGTGTGATATTAATCTTTTTTTATTTTGACTTATTATTCTGGAAAATAGCTTTTCCTGCATTAATGAGATGTTGTGAGGTTGAAGTAAGTATTGGTGAAAGTACTTTCAAAAGATTAAAGCTGCTTTAGTAAAAAGGTGTTTCTAATACTACATTTGGAAAAATGTTTTTGTGAAGCCACTGTATATATGCCACTATAGCATATGCTTTTTTGTATCCTTTATAGGTCTTGTGATGCTTAAGATGTGGAGTGCAAGTAATTTTGCTCACATTTTTCAGGCAAAAGAAGCTAAGTAGTTTTCCCAAGGATATAGTATTATGTGGATGAAAACCTAGGTTGTACCTCAGCAGCTCCACCTCCACTGCAGGCCAGTCTGTCAGCCACAGCTCCTTTCTCTGTCACATTTCAACGAGGAAGAAAGCGATGCTGTGGGGTATAATATACAACGCTTTCTCTGTATTAGCAGTTGTGTCCTTCCACCTTCTAAATGCTGAGCTTTCCTTTGTGCTTTGATATTTTTGGATTTTAGAGGGCAGTACAATAATTTGGGCTGAAGGCTAGGAATAGGGAAGGTAACAGTGGCTTTCTGATCTCACACCAGGCCTGGAAATCTATTACACCAGGTAGTGGTAAGTACTAGTTTTATGCCCATTACTGAACTTCCCCCCCTCTCCCCCTGCCAGAATGTATTTGTTGCAGTTGGAAGGGGTTTATACGTCTATAACCTTCAAATGAAGCGTGTGATTGCCTGCCAGAAAACTGCACATGACTCCAATGTCCTGCACGTTGCCAAACTTCCAAACAGGTACAAGTTTCCGTCAGTTCTGTAACAGGTGAAAGAAATGCATAGTTCCCAGGGCCACCAGTGTAATTTTTCAAGGGGCAAAGTCACCTGGCTCCGTGGCTTGACCTGTTATGTTCTTTTGGAAATGGAGAATACCCCATGGCTATCTTAACAGAAGAGTTGGTGGCATTATATTATGAAATTTACAAGAAGCAAGGTTCAAATGAATTACATTGAATTTCATTATAAGAAGAGATAATTTAAAATTCGGTATTTATTTTAAAAGATAAAAGACTTTTGGGCACTGACTGTGTACTAATTTTTCTTTTTATATTTTCCACAAACCCACCTTTTTGGTGGTGGTGTTTGATTACGGCTTCAATTAAATGGTAGTCTCCTGTTGGCTAAGGCTGCCAACTGAGGGCTTTCCCCTCAGGGTAGATTTGGCTGTTGAGTTTCTAGGGATGAATTATATGAAGGAAATAGAATTATTTTCTATGCAGGATACTTTTAGAGTGAGAGGCGCCCTGAGAAGAGATACCGTGAGAGGAAGGAATGAGACTTCTCAGGATATTGTGAAACTGTAATTCGTAACCTGTTTCCTGAATGCATTTTTAAAAATGGAAATGATACATATTTATAACATTTGAACCAATGTAACAGTATAATGTGTGCCTTTCTTGAGGAGTGCTTTTACTTTGCATTGTAAAGCCATATTGATAAATTGTGATTTTTATTGGCTCCTGCCAAGAGCTGAATAAAAGCAGTTGCGGGCTCCACTGATTTCTTTCACTGCAAATTTAGCATAGGCCTTCCATGGTGCTCTTTTTATCACTGATTTTCTCTTCTGACAGGCAGTTAATCTCATGCTCAGAAGATGGAAGTGTACGCATTTGGGAGTTACGAGAAAAACAGCAGCTTGCAGCTGAACCTGTACCAACAGGTGAGTATCTTTTCTCAAAAAGGTAGTCTTGCTTTTTTTTTGTTTTCTCATATGCAAGACAGAAGAAAGGCAGTGGTATGTAACCACAAAATAATATACAGTGTGCTCCAAATAAGCATCAGATGTTTACATGAAGCATTTGGTAATTGGGATCTAGGATTCACATTTAAATATTGCTTTACTGTAGAACTACCTGTTTATTTCAGTTCAAGTCAACTAGGATTTTTTTGTTTTGAGGGGAAACTATTATTCCTGGTAATCTGACTGACTAAATGGCCTAATGAACTATTTACTCATTTATATTGTCTGTAATTATGTCTGGTATACAGACAGAATTTGTATCATCAGGTGTCAAAGTTCTTTCAGCCTTAAAGCATTATCATTAACATAGAACTCAATTTATTTATAAACATTTTTGTATTTATATCATCTCATGAACTCTTTGATTTTCAGGTGTTTGATTTGAAAAACAAAATCCCTGTTAGTTAGCAGCCTTTGCATAAGAAATCAGATGCTGGTACCCCTGGAATTTCTTCTGGTTATTTGAAGTCATAGGGCATTGCTTTGGGACATCCCTATGTTGCTTTTTGCCTACCCTTTATTGATAAATCTGAGTTGTGACCTCCCCCACCCCCGCCCCACCTCATTGCCATTCAGGCCTTTCATTTCTCTCCTCTTTGATTCCCATTGCCTTTCCTCACGTTAACACACCTTCACCAGTGCGTGAGTAGGGACAATAAAAAGAGATGAGCAACAAACCTGGGTAGCTAAGAGGAAACAAAGTAACATATTTAAAAAACCCTAGTATAGTACCTGGTACCATCTGCTCACTAAGCCCTTGACTAAAATAAGTGGGGAACACTTTTTGCATTTAAGTTTTGTTTTTCTGATCTTAGATTATTATTATAAGAAAAGAGCACAGTAATTTCGAAAATGACTGAAATGGCTGTGTTTTTCTAGGTTTTTTTAACATGTGGGGATTTGGAAGAGTAAATAAACAAGCCAGCCACCCTGTTAAAAAACAACAAGAAAATGCCACTTCATGTTCACTAGAGCTTATTGGCGATTTAATTGGACACTCATCATCTGTGGAGGTATTATTTTTAATAGGCATATAAATGTCCAGGGAATTCCTGCTTTTTGCATCTCACTGCTCTTCTTTCATTTGGTCTCATAAAGACCTAAACTTTCTCTTATCTGTAGGTTTTTGTGGAATCTAAACATGGAATGGAATAGGTTATATAGTATGTGCCATTAGGATCTCTCTTTACAGAGAAATGATTTGAAGAAGGGATGTCTTGCTTCTAAAAAATCACTTAATTACTATTACTTATGAGATGTAGATAGCTGACAATAAGGATGGTGTGAATAATGTTGAATATGTAACAGTAGTAAATAGAGGGTACATGGAGGGTTGTGTTTATGTATGTAGAGGTAAAGCCTTATAGAATCTAATTCCAGGGAAGTTTATCAAATTCATGAACAGTACTGTTTTTACCTCCCTTTGGAGGATAATAATTTGTTAGCGTTAGTAAAACCCAGTGTCTTGACTGTCATTGTGCATATATGAAAATAATAGTTGAGAATTACAGGATGCATAAAGTTCTAACTTGTTATAAATATATTCAAATACTTTAATATTTACTATAGGCATTATTGCCTGTAATGAAGAAGGAATAAGACCAGTCGAGGTAAAGAAATGATTGGAACTGGTAACAGTATAAGCAGAGCCCTAAGTCCCCCTCCCTTCCCCCCTCCCTCCCTCTGTGCTGGTCTTAGTTGCGGCATGCGGGATCTTTGTTGTGGCATACGGGCTCCTAGTTGCAGTATGCGGGATCTAGTTCCCGCGTGCTGCAGGCCCTCTGCACTGGGAGCATGGAGTCCTAACCACTCGATCACCAGGGAAGCCCCATGAGTTTCTTAAATTGTTCTTCCCTGTTTCATAGCCAGGGAGGAACAAATTGGTTTTCATTTGAAAGTGCATTTATACTTAGAAGCAACAGCACAACACTTGTTATTAGCATTTCCTGTATTTCAGGCACTACACTAGACATTGGCGTTTACAAAGAGATATAATATAAAAATATTATGGTCCTGGATATGAGCTGAACCTTGATGCTTAGGTAGGATTAAGATAGTCTTACGACCATAAGCTCCCTGATTTTGGGTACTTACATCTTACTCATTTTTGCCTTCCTCTGCCAGGTAGCCCAGTTGTTTTCATTTTGTTTTTTAACTTTGGGAGTTGTGCAGATGGAATGTGGTAGACAGGAGGGCAAAGATAGACTCTACTTGGTGGCAAGGAGCAGGTTGGCTAGGCTGGAGGACTGTGTTCCGATGAATGGACACAGTAGGAGATAAAGCTGGGAAAGTAGTTTGGGGTCAGATTACTGAATGTAAGGCTAAGGAGTTTGGACTTTTTAAAAAAATTCATACATACATACACAAAAAGTTTATGTATTTATTTTGGCTGTGTTGGGTCTTTGCACACGGGCTTTCTCTAGTTGCGGCGAGCAGGGGCTACTCTTCGATGCGGTGCGTTGCGGTGGCTTCTCGTTGTGGAGCACAGGCTCTAGGCGTGTGGGCTTCAGTAGTTGTGGCGCACAGGCTTAGTTGCTCTACGGCATGTGGTATCTTCTCGGACCAGGGCTCGAGCCTGTGTCCCCTGCATTGGCAGGTGGATTCTTAACCACTGCACCACCAGGGAAGTCCCTGGACTTTATGTTTTAAATAGTAGGAACCTATTAAAGGTTTTTAAATGGTGTGGCACATTTGTCATTGTATGGAAGTGTTCAATTCTTAGAAATTTTCCTGAGTGGAAGTGTTGACATTTAATTACTTTTTAAAAAAATCTTGGCTCTTTCTTGAATTTTCTCATTCCTTTTTTCTTTTGATCCTTACTCTCTAAGCCTAGTCCTATCTACCTGTATTTATTGAATTCTAACTTTTCCATCTCCTGAGGAGTTTTGCTCTGCTAGGTCTCCACCCCTCACTCCTACATCATCAGCTGAGCCCTTCTCCTGCTATCTTCAGAAATGTATGAGTTATGTCTTAGAAAACTTGCATCCTATTTCTCTCCTATATTTCACTCTTTCCCTCAAAGAGCTCATCCTTTTCATTTATCTCCTCTCTACTCCATAGGATGCATGCTGCCTTCTCATCAACATTCCATTTTCCTATTCTTACCTTCCAGCCTGTTCCTTCACTGGGCATGACCTTCCTTTTATTTGGAGAGTTTTATGTTTTTGAAGCTTTTTCTGACAACTTCATTCATTATTGATCTATGCCTCCTTTTTCTGCATTTCTGTGGCAAATCATAGCCTGAACTATGCTGTTTAGTACCTGATTACATCATCTTTAATTGGTACCCTTATTGTTTCAACTATGATTTGGTTTTCACAACTGAATTAGAACCTTTTTAAGGGTAGGGACTATAAGCATATAGATGACACTCAGTAAATGCTTAAGGATTGATTATGTCTCTTTTTATAGAGAGCTAAAGCCATTGTTTCTCTTGGAGAATTTGGAATTCAGACATTTTATTGGTGGCCATTTTTGCATAAATAAGAAGGCCAGTAAAAATGATTAAGTAAAGCAGGTTTGTTGGGACTTCTGACAAAAATCTTAAAACCAATACTTGAGGAATTAGATAATGGTAAAATTTAGACGATACTTTGGGACTTCATGTACTTTACAAAAATAGCTGTTATTTATAGTTCTGTAGTTGAGTAGTATTTACTAGTCTAGCATTTGTATATTTGTATGTGATTATCACTCACACTTAAAAATAACATTTCTCATGAAAGATATGGAGTTTTACGGTCAGATCCAAAGAAGTCTCCAAGGTACACATTTTAACAAGCACCTGTCTTAATCTAGTTAGTATTAGCCTCTTCTCCTTGAAGTTCCTATAATCAGTAATTAAAATTTTTTTTTACAGATGTTTCTGTACTTTGAAGATCATGGACTAGTGACATGTTCTGCTGATCATCTCATTATTTTGTGGAAAAATGGAGAACGAGAATCTGGATTGCGCAGCTTAAAGTTATTTCAAAAATTAGAGGAGAATGGTGACTTATATCTTGCTGTCTAGTTTAAGGAATTTGAACACCTGTGCATGAACCTTGAACAGCAAATATAGGGGTAATACTCTGAAAACCATTACCATATTAATCACTTAAATTTTGTAATTTTTTTTTCTTGTTACTCCATAAAATTCCAATTGTTTGAATTCTTTTTTCTGGGGCTGCAAACCAGCAACAAGTTGCTTCTCAGGTATTAGTACTTTCACCAAAGAATATAGCACAAGTTTTTCATTTGACTTTTCACATAACAGTTACCTGAAACCATTGAAGGAATGGGTCTAATTTCAGCAGTGAATTTTCAGAAAGTGAAGTTTTCAGAGTTCATCACATATACCTGTTGAAGCAGAATTAAATTATACCACAGTGTCCTCACAGAGATAAATTTTTTATGCTTTGAAAAAACTCTACACCAGAAATTATATGAGTTTATGTTTAATGAGGAGAAGAGTACTTGGAACCTCTCACTGTCTCTAATGTAACTATATTGCCTCTAATTAAATTTTTATTCATCAAAAGGGATTAGATTTTTAAAATATTACATGTAATTTCTTTCATTTAGCCTTTTTGGATTTTGAAATACCTGACTTTGTTCTCCAAAGTTGTTAGTATTTTAACTATCATTTAACCTGTCATTCTTTTAAAGATTTATTCAAGGAACCTACTTTTATGGAAATAAATATACATGATCATTATAGACGATATTTTGGGAGAAAAATGAAAAATCCGGTGAAGAGTAAATAGGTAGGATGTAGCATATCTTGAACTTAAACCTTGAGATATCCAGAAAACTGATGCCTCCCTGTAGGAAATGAAGATTCCATAATAATTGTACTTTGTGCTGCTATTGAAGTGGTGAGTGCTGTGTTTTAAGCTTCTTAATTTGAACCTAGACCCTGGGAGGAGGTAGAAATAGAAATAACAGTATTTTTTTATTCTTTGGTTTTCTTTAGAGCCTGTTTGATTAAGAATTCTTGTGATAAATTTAAATATATCCTTTCTCCTACAAATCCCCCTGGTCTTTAGTAACTCTCAGTATTCTAAATATGAAGCAAACCTGAATCTCCCACTGTTTTAACTACAGCTTTTTTTTTTTGGTGCCAACTAATTTGTTTAAATCCTTTTTTTTTTTAAAATTCTAGCTACTAAAATCCCTATAAACACAAATCAGGAGGAATCTTATTACAGTGTATTTTTTCCCCCTAGCCTGAGCAGCTATTGACTAGATTCTTGGTAATAGACCAGCAGCAGCCCCTCATATATGCCAGAGATGAGAGCTAGATCAGTAAAGTTACAGTGTTTTCAAAGTGCCTGATTCATCTTACCATTGGCTCAAATATGAAATGCTTGAGACAGGCATCACTTATGAGTTTCTTGCAGACCACTGAGATTTAATCATCTTCATCACCCCATCAACCTTAGAGCACTCTTTCTCCCTTTTGGTACTAAAGAATAAAAATTAAAAAGTGTTCCATACATTAAAAAATGGGTGGGTTTAATTGTGGAGTTAATCTTAAACTGCTGATGAAAGAATCGTATTGAAGTAAACACCAGGTGGCTGATGTGTCAGAGGACTAATCCTTCTCAAAGAACACTTTCTGGATTTATTTTTTCATCACACACACCCTAATGGAATCTTTGTAAATTGTTGTCACTAGTGTCACTAGTTTTACCTTTGACAGTTGTTGTTTCCTCAACTACCTACAAAGTCTGGAAGAGCTATGGTCATCTATGCCAGACCAGTGCCATAATGTTATAAATAAGGAAGCTGAAGCCCAGTCAGGTAAGGCCTTCCAGTTAGTTAGCTCAATTCTCATTAGCATCAGTAAACGAATTTAAAAACAGAAATTGAACATGACTGGAATGAGAGAGAAGGGTTGTATGATTACCCCTTGAGCAAAACCAGATAATGTTCATAGTCATTGTTTCTGTTTTAATTCACAATGAAAATACCTTTATGGAGAAATATAATAAAATTTATGTAACCACCATTACATAATAGAAGAATGTGAATAGAAAAATTAGCACTGCCTCTTAGCCAACAGATTGTTGTTATTAGGCTTTTAATTTTCTTCCATAGATGGACTTTCTCTTATTACCAGCTAGCTTTTTCTTTGGAGATTCTACTATTAGGTCATGAGTTTTAAAGTTTTCTTGAATTGTATAAGATAGTCAATGAATTATAAAAGGAATTCATAGATTCTTAACTGCTTTTTTCCCTAATTTGTTCTGGATTAGTATTATGTAATAGTAATCTATTCACGTGAATGATACAAACCACAGGTGAGTTGGGGGAGCAAATAGTACTGATGAAAGTACCACTGTGAGTCCCTCTGTTATTAAAATCTAGAGGAAAACCTCCAACCCATTCATGGGAACTTGATGGTTTTTGCTTTCATGAATGCCCTAAGGTCAGAGATGGAGTAAAACAGTGAGATGGGAAAATCTAGCAGAGACTCAGACTTTGATGGCTGCTTACTAGTTGTATGCAGAGTGCTGCAAAAAGTTGAACTTTCAAACTAGAAGAATACAACTATAACTGAGGTCGATAAATATTATGTGCATTTTTTCCATTTCCCTAGCTTAGCTTTCAGTGCTGTTATATTTGCAACACCAGAAGTAATACTATGCAGTGGGCCTTGTCATTTTTATTTAAAAATACCCTTATTACCTCATTCTCTGGCTTACTCACATAACACAATCAAGAGCCTAAACTTGAGGGACATTGTATTTATCTTTCTCAAGTTGAGTGCGTTCTGATTAATAGATGAGGCTTGTTCTTTGTCCACAAGACTAAGCAGTCCTAACTCTGAAGGTAAGCATATTTTAAAATCTTAAATTGGAAGTAAAGAATAACCTAATTAAATTATAGGGTTATTCTGGTCCCGGTAACTGTTTTATAACTAACTTCTGGTTAAGTAGTAGTAGTAATGTGACTTCTCTCTAGTTTAGATCATGTTATATTTTCCTAAATTAATAGGGTTCCCCTCAACACAGACTTATGCTCAGTATGAGAGACAATTATAATAGTTTATACTCACTCATCTGATACACATACCATCTGAAAGACTATTTGGAGGAATGCACTATTTAGTTAGCAACTCAGTAGAAGATTACACCATAGTAGATTACACTGATAAAGAGCAGAGCTATGCTAAAGCTTTAGTACCTGGCAGTGTTAATATGAAATTAATTTGAAATTATACTGAGTCAGTTTTAACAAACATTTACATAGAAAAATGTCAGACATCTGATGAATGTCACTTACCAAATGGAACCAAAAGCGAGATGGTCAAGAAAAGATTGTCGTTGCTTCAGGCAAGCTTCTGAAGCCTAGGCAAATTATTTAGCTCCTTAAAATGGGATTCTGACATCCTGAATTTAATGTGTTCTGAAAACAAAGCGTGTGACTCATGAAATAAAGAACACTAAACCGAAATATTGAAATTATGAAAAATTTAGGCCAAAGAGGTAAAATAAAAACAGCTGTTAGGAATGAAAAATGGCTGTAGGAATTTAGTTACAAGTACTTCACAAAAACATTTTCATCACATTTACTTAGTGCAGCATTACAATACAAAGCTAGCTGCTGTCCTGACCAAGCAAGTTCTCTTACCATCTAACAAAAATAATTTAGGTACATTTCTTTGCATGGAATTGTCATATATGTTTCCATTTGTTGGTACAAAACATAGAAAAAAACATTGGCATGTTTTGTAGTGATAAGTAATTTTTGCCCCCATGTACTAGGTCCACGTGTTCTGCATTCCAATTTTCATTTGAAAAAAGTAACTAACTACTGGTTCAGTTAATTTAGTCTCTGTTTATACCTCTTAGAAATGCAGCATGAAGTACAGAGAATTTGAAAGAAAAACAAAGATTTTGTTTACAGAATCTCTAATTTATAATACATAGAGAAGGGTTGGCTGGTAAAAGAGAAAAGAAAATCTCAAGTCTGACTTCATGTAGACCACAGAAAGTTGTGAAAAGAGCTGTATAAAAATATGCACTTGTGCTTTAGAAGCTTTTAGCATACAATTAATAGCTTAAAATAGTATTTACTGCTTCCCCATATGCTATTTTCTGATATATTTACACACCTTGCAATCTTTTTTTCATCATTAAAGCAAAATGGCATGATCTTAAATATAGATAGGTTAAAAACATCTGAACCTTGAAACTTCCTCTGTCTCCTCAGTACTCGGCACAACGTACTCCATGGACTTAAACCCTGAAAATTTAGATTGCTTTAATAAAAATTTTAAACAGCAAATGTATATAAATTTTTTTTTTAAAAAAAAGCTTGTCCAAGGGCATTCAGATTAATGGCTTGTATATAATACCTACTGTAGTGCCTTGTAACTGCCTCTGTAAACCAGAAATAAAGGGAGAAAGCTCTTGGATTCCCCACAGACAAGATGTCACTTCCTTCCCCATCATGGTTGACTTTCTGTTAAGATGAATCCCTTTTGTAGGAGAGAGGACTACACAGGCTGCTGATACCAGTCTAGAGAAGGCACTCACCAGGCCAAGACAGACTATGTTCTAACTTGGGTGTTACACCATTGATCAGAACCACCTAGCCATGGAGGCTCTGAAGCTAACTAGTTTATCAGCAGTTTGGTCCTAGTTGTTTTGCTCACTTTATATGGGTTTCTTTTCTTAGATATTCTTATGAGCCTTTTAGATTGATGCTCTTGAGGAAAATAGTCAAGCTAAACAGTGATGGTGACTTTCATGGTAAAAGATGAGCTAAACCACTAGCTAAGCTACATGGTCCATCATCCACAGAGATGGTGGGCTCGTGGGCACCAAGTCTTTGCTGCATGTCTCCTGCTAGTTACAGTGAATCAGCTGCAGGGTTTGATGAGGGCAGACAGGATGACAGCAGGGCAAAGGATTTTGCCATGTGTTTGTTCTGTCACTAAGTGATTGTTCAAAATTTTTCTTCATGGAACATAATTTTCTAAAAATGAAATTTGGGAAGTTGAATGATTAAAAGTCAGATATTAAACATTAGCTCCTTAACCTACACCTGTCATTTTCATTATGAAGGAAAGCCTCTTGTTTACACTACTGTGATTCACAGTGCCCTTTGTAGATCAAGAGGTCACCTTCTCTGTCTTGGCTTTAGCTGTCAGATGGAAGCCTCAGACTTTTGCACTTTAGGTCATCTAACGTCTTCCAGTGTTTGTAGTTATCGGCCAAATGTTGCATCAGGGTTGGCAGGTGTGCAAAGGCTGCAAGGATATAAGAGAATAAAAAGAAGCCTGTTAAATTAGATTCCAGGAGCATTTATAAGGTTGGGGCTCTGTGGGACAAATTTGGGATCACAATTGGAGGAGAGGTACCCTAGGTTAGGCCTAAGGTGAACACAGAAGCATGAGAAGGATGAGTTACTAAACACTGGTTTCTGAAATATGAACAGGTCCTTTTAACTAAAAATTGATAACAACAAAAGATCAGAAAGAGAAATTAAAGAAACAATCCCATTTACCATCACATCAAAAAGAATAAAATACCTTGGAATAAACCTACCTAAGGAGGCAAAAAACCTGTACCCTGAAAACTATAAGATGTTGATGAAAGAAATCAAGGATGACACAAACACATGGAAGGATACCATGTTCTTGGATTGGAAGAATAAATATTGTGAAAATGACTATACTACCCAAGGCAATCTACAGATTCAGTGCAATCCCTATCAAGATACCGATGACATTTTTCACAGAACTAGAATGAAAATTTTTTTATTTTGTAAGGAAACACAAAAGACCCTGAATAGCTAAAGCTATCCTGAGGAAGAAAATCAGAGCTGGAGAAATCAGGCTCCCTGGCTTCAGACTATACTTCAAAGCTACAGTAATCAAAGTGGTATGGTACTGGCACAAAAACAGAAGTATAGATCAATGGAACAGGACAGAAAGCCCAGAAATAAACCGATGCATCTATGGTCAATTAATCTACAACAAAGGAAGCAAGAATATACAATGGAGAAAAGATAGTCTCTTCAATAAGTGGTGCTGGGGAAACTGGACAACTACATGTAAAAGAATGAAACTAGAGCATTCTGTAACACCATACACAAACTCGAAATGGATTGAAGACCTAAATGTAAGGCTGGCTACTATAAAACTCTTAGAGGAAAACATAGGCAGGACACTCTTCACCATAAATCACAGCAGTATCTTTTTGGATCCACCTTGTACCTAGAGTAATGAAAATAAAAACAAAAATAAACAAATGGGACCTAATTAAACTTAAAAGCTTTCGCACAGCAAAGGAAACCATAGACAAAACGAAAATACAACCCACAGAATGGGAGAAAATATTTGCAAATGAAGCAACCAACAAGGGATTAATCTCCAAAATACACCAACAGTTCATGCAGCTCTGTATCCAAAAAAAAAAAAATCAAAAAATAGGCAGAAGATCTAAATAGACATTTCTCCAAAGAAGACATACGGATGGCCAAAAGCACATGAAAAGATGTTCAACGTCACTCAATGAGAAATGCAAATCAAAACCACAATGAGGTATCACCTCAAACCAGTCAGAATGGCCATCATTAAAAAGTCTACAAATAAATGCTGGAGAGGGTGTGGAGAAAAGGGAACCCTCCTACACTGTTGGTGCGAATGTAAATTGGTGCAGCCACTATGGAAAATGGTATGGAGGTTCCTTAAAAAACTAAAAATAGAGCTACCATATGACCCAGCAATCCCACTCTTAGGCGTATACCCAGAGAAGACTGTAATTCAAAAAGATACATGCACCCCAATGTTCACTGCAGCACTCTTTACAGTAGCCAAGACATGGAAGCAACCTAAATGTCCCTTGACAGATGAATGGATGAAGAAGATGTGGTATATATATATATATGTATACACACACATACATACATACATATACAATGGAATATTACTCAGCCATGAAAAAGAGTGAGATAATGCCATTTTCAGCAACATGGATGGACCTAGAGATTATCATACTAAGTGAAGTACGTCAGAAAGAGAAAGACAAATATCATATGATATCACTTACATGTGGAATCTGAAAAAAAAGATACAATTCAACTTATTTACAAAACAGAAATAGACTCACAGACTTTGAAAACAAATTTATGGTTACCAAAGGGGAAACACGGGGGGAGGGACAAATTAGGAGTTTGGGGTTAACATATATACACTAAATAGATAATCAACAAGAATCTACTGTATAGCACAAGGAACTCTACTCAATGTTCTGTAATAACCTATATGGGAAAAGGATCTGAAAAAGAATGGATATATGTATAACTGAATCACTTAGCTATACACCTGAAAGTAACCCAACATTGTAAATCAACTATACTCGGATATAAAATAAAAATTAAATTCAAAAAAATTAAAAAGGATCTCAAAAAAATGAAAAGCTGTTTATCAACTGATATTATGAAAAGAATCTGTGATTCAGAGTAGAATTAGTATATTTTATGTTCTCTCTAGAATTTCCTCCAATGACAGAATAAAACTCCTGTAAGCTTTGGAAACATGTCCTTGGAAGAGTTGAACACCTGTTTATCCAGTTACCAAACATCCACTGAGTCTTCCATACACATGGTTTGTGCTGAGGACACACAAAGTGTTCATGCACCCCCACCACACCTGGCCACAAGCAGCTGACTTTTTCTTTTAAGTTACATTTCGTTTACACCTTTAGGCCCAGCCTCTGTCATTAAAGGTAACCATCATAATGTATAGCAAAATATTCTGTTTGTGGGTAACAAAACAGGAACTGTCTTACCATCCCAAGCATCAAACATGTCTGTTATGAAGTAGTCAATAAAGGAGATCTGGGACTTGGGGATGCTACAGGTATTCCGGTCGAATACTGGCATCACTACAGGTAGCCCCTGTCTCTTCTCTTCATCAGTCTGTAAGAAATAACACAGGGCTGTAGGGCACATAAGGAGCTGTCACAGTAACATCTAGTTTGTCAGAACCACTCTGTGAAAATGGGTCATAATCCAGTTGTATCTGTGAAGAAATTGGCTTGGCAAGGTCCTGAGGCTTATATAAGACAACCACCTGATGAGCTCCAGTGACTGGATTCAGGTCGTCTGACTCTCAAATGTGTTATGCTATCTTACAGCACCTCCTGAAGCACTTATCTCAGGATTTGTAGCCCCTTTTCTGAGATCTGTTTTCATGATCGCAAGGTCAAGACTATTTTCAAAGTAACACTAATAATACTAAGTGGCGTTTATACTGAGGGTACAGGAGCGATGGTGTGTTTAAAACTGCTGACGCCTTAGCGTGAATCAAAGAACTGGCACCAAGCTGTACAAATAGTCATTGTATTATTCACTGTCATATGCTTGCACTTTAAAAAGAAAGCCAGTTTCACTTAAGAATGTCTTCATTAAAGTAGTAAGAATTATTAATCTTATTTAAACTTGACCTTTGAAAATATGTCTTTTTAATATTGTGTGTGACAAAATCGGAAGTACATACAAAGCCCTTGTGCTGCACATCAACGTATTATGGTAGTCTGGATGAAAAGCAGTTAGGCAGTTGAGCTGAACTAGCTTCTTTTTTTCATGAAATAACTATGTTTTACTCAAAAGAATGACAAACTGAGATTTTTCAGATTGGGGTATTTGGTCATGAAATTCTCAAGATATGTGTAAATCTGAGTATTTTGCACATTAGAGTGTATGTTTTATGCATAAGGTCATAATTCACTGGGCTGAAATTGAGATCCACATTTACTGGTAGTATGCTGAACCGGAGGCTGGCTGATCAGAGACCTCATTTGTAACCTTTTTTTTAGGTCACATTGTCTTGTGAACATTAGTACTTTCCTTTCTGGGAAAAGGACACCTAAACAGGGAGATTACCTTAAAGAACTTAAAAGTGGTTCTTTCCCGTTCCCCATTCACATACTTTGAGAATAACTAGGAGTAGGATTTTAAGTCTTCTCTGTGGGTCCTGGGAAGCCCCGATAATGGCCTCCTACCAGTTTTTGGCTCAGCTTGCTCATTTCAGGTCAGTAGATTAGGCAGCCTTAAAATAGCCACTGCTGTTCAAGGAGTAGTTTGGGTTTTTTCCCCTCTCTTTCTGGCAAGCTCAGAACTGCTTGTCCTATTTTTCTTTATTCATGGGGTCTCTTCCCATCCTTGAAAGCTGCACCTAACTTACTGGGTCCTCGGCTGCCCTTTGCCCCTGCCAACCCTTTTAGACATTATCAGCTATTCTTTTATTCTGCCTCAGCGGTATGTTCCAGCCATATAGGCACACAACCCTCCCCCCCCCCCGCCCCCCGTCCCCAAATGCATTACTTGTAGCTACTTGTGACATGTTTGTCTATCACAAATAATAAACATTAGTCCTTAGAGCCTCTTCTTTGAAAGTAGGCCTCTTTTAAATGGCATCTTGTGGTCTACTACGTTATTCTCCTTTAATTCCTCTTCACACTGCCAAAGTTGCTGTTTTCCTTATATAAAAATTCTGGTTTTCCTCCCTACTAATTTTGCTCATAACCCTTTGTTCTCCCAGAACTCTCCCAGAATGTCCTTTCCCATTTCTAAATTTTGAAATCCTTCAAAAACAAAAACAAAAACACCAGCTCTAACACCTTTTCCACAAAGCCCTTTTATCTAGAAAAAAAAACTCTGAACTCTTAGGACTTAACATATACCTCCTTTAGAAGTGTTTTCATTTTTTTGTTTGTTTTTTTTTTTGCGGTACGCGGGCCTCTCACTGTTGTGGCCTCTCCCGTTGTGGAGCACAGGCTCCGGACGCGCAGGCTCAGCGGCCATGGCTCATGGGCCCAGCCGCTTCGCGACATGTGGGATCTTCCCGGACCGGGGCACGAACCTGTGTCCCCTGCATCGGCAGGTGGACTCTCAACCACTGCACCACCAGGGAAGCCCTTTCATTTATTTTTAATTTACCAATGTATGGACCTGTTTATGTCTGTCTCCCTCCCCTACTGTATTATGAGCTACCCATGGTGCAGTCTGTTCCCCAGACTGCACCATGGAGATGATAATCTAGTGAATGAATGGAGGATTTCCAAGTTTTTGTGGAAATTCAGGATCTAAAAATTTGAGGATGAAAAGATACTTCCAAAGGCTCAGTTTACCCCCCTTCCCCTAGATAGAGTTTAGTTAGTGCCCAGGCACATCATAGTCTCTTGAGGGACCAGATTTCTGTTCCAGGCAAGGGTGAGCCATTGCTTTCCAGGGAGGAGTCATTTATTTACTGTGACCCGGGGCCATTCCCAGAAGGGAGGTGGAGCTTCCCTAGAGAGGCAGCACACCTGTGCAAAGTACTCCTCGGAGATCCTTCCGGCCCATTCGATACATAGGTCCAGGGGGCGGCATGGATTGGCCACGTCAGCACACTTAATCATCATGCGCTTAATCAGGATTTGATTTTCAGGAAAGTTCTTCCCAGTAGGGTTGCATTCACAGTCACTGCCTTCAATCTGGAAAACAGATAGTCACATCAGGGTGGTTTCAACATGATGGTGAAGCCCACAAGGGCCAGCTGACCAGATATTAGATGGCAGTCACCCAGGCAAACTTAGGCATGAGACTTGATGAAGGAGGCCTTCCCATCCTTAATTCCATATATGATACATTGATATATTCTTGGGGACGGGGAGCAGTCAAACAATACAAACACACAGAGCTTAAAAGGCCGAAGTCCCTATCATCACCCCTCCACAACCTCACTTTCATCCTCTTCCCCAGAGGTAGCTGCTACAAAGCAGGTTTTTGTTTTGTTTTTAATGATTTGGTATGTAATCTTAAGGAAGGAGAGCTTTTCTCCCAGTTTTATCAGGAAATGTGTAAAAGCACAAATTCCACTTTCTTAATACATTAAAGATGGGGAAATGCCACATACATGTGACCCTTCAATTATTTCTTGATTTCTTTCTACTTAATATGCCTGACAGCTCCCTCTCTCCTGTGACCTTCTATCCCACCCCCAGTTACCCACCTCCTCCCATTTTGTTCTTTCTCTTCAGGTATGTGTCCACTCATGCTTTCCAGGCTGCTCTTCTGGCTGGGTGGTAGGGAGGGTGAGACATGTAAGTATTGGGGGTACTAGGAGCAGAAAGCGGGCCAGGGCAGGAGCAGGTATATTCAGCCATGTTAGAAAGACTGGTTGTACACTAATACCTACCTAGTGATGGATGTCAGCGGTCCAGAGCCAAGTGGACAGGTCTGTGAGTAGGCTTATGTAAATGCGACAACAGGTCAATTATACAAAACCTAGAAGACTACGATTCCCTGATTTCAAAGATACCATGGAACTGACTGTGTAAACATCTAATTAGCTCTCCAGAGCTCTGCCAAGCTGAAGGACTGTATGACATTTAAGGATTTTTTTGTTTTGGGACTGGACCTATTAAACCATCAATGGGCAGAATTATATTCTGAAGGTTGGTATTTTGATTACTTACCATTGGGAAGATACTGCTTGCTATAGTTACTGCAGTACATAAATCTCAACAGAGTTGGGGGCTTACTTGGATAGATGACCTTCCCAACTCTAAATTCTATGATTCTGTTTAATTTCCCCCTCTTAAACCCCCAGATCCTTGCTCCCATAAGTCCTCTGTGGAAGGAGAGGGTCCTGGCATTGTGCTGTGGAATCCCTGGGGGATGGAGCAGAACACAGGTGAGGTGGACACTGTTCCTCCATCCAGGCTGGTCATGTGATGGGTCCTACACAGATAGTTTCCTTACTGATCATCAAGTTACATCTAAGACAACCATTCCTCATTCATCCACATATGCAACCCTCATACAGGAATGAATGAAAAGCTTTTCTAACTTTATGGGGCTATGAACAGCCTTACAGTATAAGAGGGCAGTTGATCTCATTTTAAACAGTAAGAGATGTGAACTTATGTCCATGTTCTTAAAACCCAAGTTTGTAGGGACCTTAAGGCAGGTCTAAGGCACATCAGTAAATTTTAAAAAGGAGAAAGACTTGTATTTTTGTTTTCAACTAGTCGCTCCCAATTTAACTTTCTGTAGTCTTTAGATACTGACAGGCTTTTAATGCACATCAGCAGGATTATAGTTCTTTAAAACATCTAATTTTGAGGTCTCCCAAGAGCTCAAAGACCAGAGAACTAGAAAGGCTCTGAAACCCCTAAAATGACACCATTTATTCCAGTCTCTGCTGTCTGCAGGCTCCTTTCATCATAAACTTTGGGCCTACTTTTGTCACTGCTGGCTTTATCTCAGTCAGGGCCTTTCTTTCAAGGAGCTCAGAGTTACTGTGGACACTCTCAATCTATTCTTGTCCTTAGGGAAAACAAGTGACCAGTACTTTCAGCCTTCTTTACCAACTCCAAGCAAATAACCATCTTGCATTCAAGATGGAGAGAAAATGCTTTGAGGCCAGAGTAGGCTCTGGTGTATCTTATTACATGGGAAATGCTTACCTCAGCTGCCATTGGCTTGTTGATGCTGTTCACAAATTTGTTCACATGTTCAAAGTGTTTTGTCATCTCTGTTGCTAAAACCATATCAATAATAGCCTGGCGCAGTGTTCGATAATGGTTCCTAAAATAACCAGAAGACAAAGCGCCTTGTTCACATCATGTCCCGAATTAGAACTGTTCTACCATTTCACCACACTTCCCACAATCTAGGAGGAAGCTAGGGGCACAGAGTTAATGAGTGAAGATCACAAAAAAGTTTACCTGCTCATCTTCCTACTCAGCCAGGACTTGGTGACACTATTCCATTTTCCCCAGTGACAGCTGACCTTCATATGATTTATGAGTATATAAAAAAAAAAGTGTCCCAAGGGTACTTATTTCACAAGGTGATTCCCTTCTACCTTCCCTTGGCAATATCAAAATAGTGAAGTGAAAGGAAATGACAAGTTCTTTCCCTACAAGGCTAGTACAGCAACCTGGTGAGCTGTCCCATGGCATTCAGTGCAGACACAGTGATTCCTGTTACAGAGAAGTGTCATTATTTCTTTTGATGATGGCACTGGAAGAAAGTTTTCCAAATAATGAGCTCTTCTCTAGATTGCAATTAGATAAAAGTTATAATGGAAGGAGCAATAACCCTGCTCAAAATCACCCAGTTCCTATCATCTTTTTCTAACTTCAAGAGCCAGAATGGGGAACTGAATAAAATTGGCTATTGGCAAGAATTCTTCCTATGAAAGTTTCAAAAACAATACTTGATACTGATGAAGCCTTCAGTTGAAGGTGGAATAACTGGTCTCCATATTTTCTCAGGTTTCTGGAGACCAGACAGATGGGTTCAGGTTCATGTTGACAAGTCATCCTTGAGGCTTGAGTAAGCTCTGAGCTCCCTGTATACTGCCTTTTCTCAGGGGTCTGCACTCCAGCCTGGCTGTTGCTATGTAGGAAATACTCATAGCTTGATGGCAGGGTGGTGGCTGGCAAGAGGAATTGCTCCTATCTGTTCACATTTGGCCAACTCACCAGAGGGGGAAACCTGCCCTACCCTGTGGACTCCAGGAGCTCTGCTGGGAGCATGGAACACTGTCTCCTCATGAGTTAGGATTTTAAGTGACCGAAAATTGAGCTGGGGAAAGATGGGTAAGGATACATTTTCCTCAGGTTACACCAAAGACAGGATGTCCTTTTGAGAGGATAAAAATATCTGCTATATTTGTTAGTAGTATAATCAATATTTATAGAGTGCTTTGCAGTGTATAAAACATTTTCATGAACTCACTGAAGACCAGATGGAGTTTAAAAAGATGAACAGTCTAAGCAGAGAATGGAGGAGGGCTGGCTGCACATCAAAGAAACCTATGTGGTCAACGTTTGTGTACATCTTTATGAAGATGTTCTTGCAGCACCTGTGAACATTTAGCAGGCAGTGCTCGCCTTGTGAAGCAGCTCAGGGTAAAGGCACGGCCGCCAAAGTAGGAGTGAGAGCGACGTGACGCCGGGAGGGAAACCCCAAAGAGGCCGCAGCTGCAGGAGGCCAGAGTTCTGGCCGCTGTTGGCCTTCCCTGAGGGCTTCGACCAGGCCCTGCAGGCTGCACAGCAGCTGAGCACCACCCACCTCACGGACCCCGTCCTGCCTCACGTCGCCAACCCAGTCGCCCTGTTGCCAGAATAAGCTGAAGTGTGAAAATTGCTCAGCAGGACCAGGCATAGCACGGGCCTCTTCTCTTGTGGTTTCACTTGCCAAGACCACTATCTTGATAATTCTGAGCTCTTCCCACAAGTGTTCATCTAGGGGTATCTACCCCAGCCATGTGGCTGACAGGGTCTTGGTGCTCCGGCCTGGTGTCAGGCCTGAGCCACTGAAGTGGGAGAGGCAAGTTCAGGAAACTGGACCACCAGGGACCTCCCAGCCCCACGTAGTATCAATCAGCGAGAGTTCTCTCAGAGATCTGTGTCTCAATGCTATGACCCAGTTCCACCCAACAGCCAACAACCTCCAGTGCTGGATGCCCCATGCCAAACAACTAGTGAGACAGGAATGCAACCCCACCCATTAGCAGAGAGGCTGCCTAAAATCATATTAAGTTCACAGACAATCCAAAACACACCATTGGATGCGGCCCTGCCCAACAGAAAGACAAGATCCAGCCCCACCCACCAGAACACAGGCACTGGTCCCCTCCACCAGGAAGCCTACACAAGCCACTGAACAAGCCTCACCCACTGGGGGCAGACACCAAAAGCAACAGGAACTATGAACCTTCAGCCTGCACAAAGAAGACCCCAAACACAGTAAGGTACACAGAATAAGCAGACAGAAATATGCAGCAGATGAAGGAGCAAGGTAAAACCCACCAGACCAAACAAATGAAGAGGAAATATGCAGTCTACCTGAAAAAGAATTCAGAGTAATGATAGTAAAGATGATCCAAAATCTTGGAAATAGAATGGAGAAAATATAAGAAATGTTTAACAAGGACCTGGAAGAACTAAAGAGCAAACAAACAATGATGAGCAACACAATAAATTAAAAATTCTCTAGAAAGAATCAATAGCAGAATAACTGAGGCAGAAGAACGGATAAGTGACCTGGAAGATAAAATAGCGGAAATAACTACCGCAGAGCAGAATAAAGAAAAAAAAGAATGAAAAGAATTGAGGACAGACTCAGAGACCTCTGGGACAACATTAAACGCACCAACATTCAAATTATAGGGGTCCCAGAAGAAGAAGAGAAAAAGAAAGGGTCGGAGAAAATATTTGAAGAGATTATAGTTGAAAACTTCCCTAACATGGGAAAGGAAATAGTCAATCAAGTCCAGGAAGCACAGAGAGTCCCATACAGGATAAATCCAAGGAGAAATATGCCAAGACACATATTAAACTATCAAAAATTAAATACAAAGAAAAAATGTTACAAGCAGCAAGGGAAAAGCAACAGATAACATACAAAGGAATTCCCATAAAGTTATCCACTGATTTTTCAGTGGAAACTCTGCAGGCCAGAAGGGAGTGGCAGGATATACTTAAAAGTGATGAAAGGGAAAAACCTACAACCAAGATTACTTTACCCAACAAGGATCTCATTCAGATTCGATAGAGAAATTAAAACCTCTACAGACAAGCAAATTTAAGATAATTCAGCACCACCAAACCAGCTTTACAACAAATGCTAAAGGAACGTCTCTTGGCAGGAAACACAAGAGAAGGAAAAGGCCTACAAAAACTAACCCAATACAATTAAGAAAATGGTAATAGGAACATACATATTGATAATTACCTTAAATGTAAATAGATTAAATGCTCCAACCAAAGGACACAGACTGGCTGAATGGTTACAAAAACAAGACCCATATACATGCTGTCTACAAGAGACCCACTTCAGACTTAGGGACACATAAAGACTGAAAGTGAGGGGACGGAAAAAGATATTCCATGCAAATGGAAGTCAAAAGAAAGTTGGAGTAGCAATTCTCATATCAGACAAAAATAGACTTTAAAATACAGACTATTACAAGAGGCAAAGAAGGCCACTACATAATGATGAAGGGATCAATCCAAGAAGAAAATATAACTGTTGTAGATATTTATGCACCCAACATAGGAGCACCTCAATACATAAGGCAAATGCTAACAGCCATAAAAGGGGAAATCGAGAGTAACACAATCATAGTAGGGGACTTTAACACCCCACTTTCACCAATGGACAGATCATCCAAAATGAAAGTAAATAAGGAAACACAAGCTTTAAATGATACATTAAACAAGATGGACTTAATTGATATTTATAGGACATTCCATCCAAAACCAACAGAATACACTTTCTTCTCAAGTGTTTATGAACATTCCCCAGGATAGATCATATCTTGGGTCACAAATCAAGCCTTGGTAAATTTAAGAAAATTGAAATCTAATCAAGTATCTTTTCCGACTGCAACGCTATGAGACTAGATATCAATTATAGGAAAACTGTAAAAGATACAAACACTTGGAGGATAAACAATATGCTACTAAATAACCAAGAGATCACTGAAGAAATCAAAGAGGAAATCAAAAAATACCTAGAAACAAATAACAATGAAAACACAATGACCCAAAACCTATGGGATGCAGCAAAAGCAGTTCTAAGAGGGAAGTTTATAGCAATACAATCCTACATCAAGAAACAAAATCTCAAATAAACAACCTAACCTTACACCTAAAGCAATTAGAGGAACAAGAACAAAACCCCCCCAAAGTTAGCAGAAGGAAAGAAATCATAAAGATCGGATCAGAAATAAATGAAAAAGAAATGAAGGAGATGATAGCAAAGATCAATAAAACTAAGGGCTGTTTTATTGAGAAGATAAACAAAATTGATAAGCCATTAGCCAGACTCATCAAGAAAAAAAGGGAGAAGACTCAAATCAACAGAATTAGAAATGAAAAAGAAGTAACAACTGACACTGCAGAAATACAAAGGATCATGAGAGATTACTACAAGCAACTATATGCTAATAAAATGGACAACCTGGAAGCAATGGACAAATTCTTAGGAAAGCACAACCTTCCGAGACTGAACGAGGAAGAAATAGAATATATAAACAGACCAATCAGAAGCCCTGACACTGAAACTATGATTAAAAATCTTCCAACAAACAATAGCCCAGAACCAGATGGCTTCACAGGCCAATTCTATCAAACATTTAGAGAAGAGCTAACACCTGTCCTTCTCAAACTCTTCCAAAATATAGCACAGGAACACTCCCAAACTCATTCTACGAGGCCACCATCACCCTGATACCAAAACTAGACAAAGATGTGACAAAAAAAACTACAGGCCAATATCACTGATGAACATAGATGCAAAAATCCTCAACAAAATACTAGCAAACAGAATCCAACAGCACATTAAAAGGATCATACACCATGATCAAGTGGGGTTTATCCCAGGAATGCAAGGATTCTTCAGTATATGCAAATCAATCAATGTGGTACACCATTTTAACAAATTGAAAGATAAAAATCATATGATCATCTCAATAGATGCAGGCAAAGCTTCTGACAAAATTCAACACTGATTTATGACAAAAACGCTCCAGAAAGTAGGCATAGAAGGAACCTACCTCAACATAATAAAGGACAATATATGAAAGGCCCACAGCCAAATTCGTTCTCAATGGTGAAAAACTGAAACCATTTTCTCTAAGATCAGGAGCAAGACAAGGTTGTCCACCTTCACCACTATTATTCCACATAGTTTTGGAAGTTTTAGCCATGGCTATCAGAGAATAAAAAGAAAGAAAAGGAATCCAAATCGGAAAAGAAGTAGTAAAACTGTCACAGTTAGCAGATGACATGATACCTATCATACACAGAGAATCCTAAAGATGCTACCAGAAAACTACTATAGGTAATGAATGATTTGGTAAAGTAGCAGGATACAAAATTTATGCACAGAAATCTCTTGCATTCCTATACATTAATGATGAGAAATTGAAAGAGAACTTAAGAAACACTCCCATTTACCATTGCAACAAAAAGAAAATACTTAGGAATAAACCCACCTAAGGAGACAAAAGACCTTTATGAAGAAAACTATAAGACACTGATGAAAGAAATTAAAGATGATACAAATAGATGGAGAGATATACCATGTTCTTGGATTGGAAGAATCAACATTGTGAAAATGACTATAGTACCCAAAGCAATCTACAGATTCAATGCAATGCCTATCAAACTACCACTGGCATTTTTCACAGAACTAGAACAAAAAATTTCACAATTTGTATGGAAACACAAAAGACCCCGAATAGCCAAAGCAATCTTGAGAAAGAAAAACGGAGCTGGAAGAATCAGGCTCCCTGACTTCAGACTATACTACAAAGCTACAGTAATTAAGACAGTATGGTACTGGCACAAAAACAGAAATATAGATCAATGGACCAGGATAGAAAGCCCAGAGAGAAACCTATGCACATATGTTCACCTTATCTTTGATAAAGGAGGCAAGAATATACAATGGAGAAAAGACAGCCCCTTCAAGAAGTGGTGCTGGGAAAACTGGACAGCTACACATAAAAGAATGAAATTAGAACACTTCCTAACACCATACAGAAAAATAAACTCAAAATAAATTAAAGACCTAAATGTAAGGCCAGACACTATAAAACTCTTAGAGGAAAACAGGCAGAACACTCTATGACATAAATCACAGCAAGATCCTTTTGACCCACCTCCTAGAGAAATGGAAATAAAAATAAATGGGACCTAATGAAACTTAAAAGCTTTTGCACAGGAAAGGAAACCATAAACAAGATGAAAAGACAACCCTCAGAATGGAAGAAAATATTTGCAAGCAAAGCAACTGACAAAGGATTAATCTCCAAAATATACAAGCAGCTCATGCAGCTCAATATCAAAAAACAAACAACCCAATCCAAAAATGGGCATTAGACCTAAATAGACATTTCTCCAAAGATGTACAGATTGCCAACAAACACACGAGAGGATGCTCAACATCACTAATCATTAGTGAAATGCAAATCAAAACTACAATAAGTAGTTTTGTCACAATGGCTAGCATCAAAAAATCTACAAACAATAAATGCTGGAGAGGGTGTGGAGAAAAGCGAACCCTCTTGCACTGTTGGTGGGAATGTGAATTGATACAGCCACTATGGAGAACAGTATGGAGGTTCCTTAAAAAACTAAAAATAGAACTACCATATGAGCCAGCAACCCCACTACCAGGCATATACCCAGAGAAAACCATAATTCAAAATGAGACATACCACAGTGTTCATTGCAGCACTATTTACAATAGCCAGGACATGGAAGCAACTTAAGTGTCCATTGACAGATGAATGGATAAAGAAGATGTGGCACATATATACAATGGAATATTACTCAGCCATAAAAAGAAATGAAATTGAGTTATTTGTAGCGAGGTGGATGGACCTAGAGTCTGTCATATACTGTGAAGTAAGTCAGAAAGAGAAAAACAAATACCGTATGGTAACACGTACATATGGAATTTAAAATAAAATTTAAAAAAAGGTCATGAAGAACCTAGTGGCAAGACAGGAATAAAGATGCAGACCTAGTAGAGAATGGACTTGAGGACACTGGGAGGGGGAAGGGGAAGCTGGGATGAAGTGAGAGAGTGGCATGGACATATAAACACTACCAAACGTAAAATAGATAGCTAGTGGCAAGCAGCCGCATAGCACAGGGAGATCAGTTCTGTGCTTTGTGACCACCTGGAGGGGTGGGATAGGGAGGGTGGAAGGGAGTCGCAAGAGGGAGGGAATATGGGGATACATGTATACATATAGCTGATTCACTTTGTTATATAGCAGAAAGTAACACAACATTGTAAAGCAATTATACTCCAAGAAAGATGTTAAAAAAAAAAAAGATGAACAGTCTAAAAAGTACAGTTCAGTTTATAAGGTTATTATTTTACTGTTGATAAAACAGTACAGCCTTCCCCCTAAGAAGAAACTAAGTACTTGGAGAAGTTAGGGAAAACTGAGTTTCCCACTTACATTTTACAAACCTGAGCACAAGAGCCCGAGCACACAAACCTGTCAATATTCTTGAAAATGTTGCATTTGCTGTCCTTGACCGTGAGCTGGAAGGCCAGGGCTGTGTGGTGACTCTCCAAGACAGCAGTGTCATTATAGAGCACGGCGAGTTCACTGCCTGCGTTGCACAGGAAAGAGTTGGTCCTTCCTGGGTGATCCACGTCATGGACTGTGGCAGCAATCAGGGCAGCCACCTCATCTAGCTGATCGAGGCTTCCCTGGGGTCAGGGGGAGGCAAGGTTGAGCATTACCCACTGGACGTAGGAGACCTACACTCATCCCTGTCTCTCTGGAGGGGATGAGCCAGGGGGTCCTTCTCTGACTTCCTAGAAGTTAAGAGGCCACCTAGGGTATATCACATCACCTTGCCGTACTGTGGATTACCTGGAGGGAAACAGAAACCTGAGTAGCAGTTATAATGGATACCTAAATTCTTTCTCCAGAGTTCATCCACTCTAGTTCTTCTGCAGGAGGATGCCAAACAGGCCTTTTCAAACGTATGCTGTGTGGCATATTGCCATGACTCTCTTCTGTGAGTGGATAGAGAAAAAAGTGGCCTAGGATCACAAGTGTTACTTTATTTGCCTACTTCTGAAAAGATTTTGAGAGTATGGCAGTAAATGGCACAGATACAACAAAACTCTTCACACAAAGATAAAAGGATTACAGCCAAGCAACGCAAGAGGATCAAGGACAAGAAGAATTTTCCCAGGAAAACTGAGGGTAAGGGGGCTGTTACAGTGAAGAACACAATTCAGCTCTGGGCTAGCAGGTGGGAAAGGCTAAAAGGGAGACCCTCTTTCTAACGTTGTCATTATGTAGTTAAAGAACACAAACCAGAGCATCAGGGGATACAAATGTTTTTTCAGCTCACAGCTTTAGGAGGAAGTTGTCAAACGGGCTACTGTTATATAAGAGACACTGTACTTTATGAATTCATTCCTTTAGTTATCATTTATTGGATGCTTACTGGGTGCCAGTTGTCAGGCAGAGTGCTGGAGTTACAGTGATGAATTATACTGGCATAGCCTGCACTAATGGAGTTGGTAGTTTACTGGAGAGGGCACAAATAAGGAAACACACAAACAAAATTAACTTACAGTGAGATGGGTTAAGAAGGGAAGTACAGGTGGTTTGAGAGTGTAACCATGAGGCTTGATCTAGTTTAGGGCAGTGCTGTCCGTTCAACTTTTCTGTGGTGATGGAAATGTCTGTACGTGGGCTGTCCAATATCGTAATCCCTAGTCACAGCTCCTGGACACTTGAAATGTGCGTGCAATTGAGGAACTGAATGTTTCATTTTATTTAATTTTAATTAAATGTAAGTAGCCACATGTGGCAAATGGCTACTTATGGACAATGCAGGTCCAGAGGGTGGGCAAGAATGGGTTCTCTAAGTAAGTGATTTTTATGCTGGAACCTGAAGGATAAGCAGGAATTAGCCAGGCAAAAAATGGCAAGGGAGAGAAATCCAGGCAGAAACATCAGCCTACATGATGCTCCTGATGTGAAACAAACGAAGTGGCTTATTCAGGAAACTTAAAGAGCATCATTGTGGCTGAAGGGTAGTGAGTGAGGGGGAAACTGGTCCCCAGGATGAGGCTGGAGGGGTGGGCATGATTTTTGGTTTTCCTGAGTTGCTTTCCTAGGCTGTGGGAGAAAAAATTGCAAGCTGCTTCTCAGATGCTAATAGGTAAGGAACAGTGAATCTGAAGCTCAGCCCTGAAAACCTTCCTGAAAGCTGTCCCTACCAGAAGGAGGCCATTTCCATTTCCAATCCTGACCTCCTGGAGCTGGTGGGCAATCCTGGCTTGCCTCTAGTCCACATGAACCGGTTTCCTGAGGGGGGACAGCAGTTGCTGCCATTCTTTTCGGCTCTTCTCAGAGACTGATTTTGTAATGCCCAGGGCAAGCAAACATGCCTAGCCCCCTTTTGCTGCTGGTTAGGAGAGGCCATGGTAACCCACAGGTACAGTCAGAATCCAGAGCTGCCCTGACTTGGCCTCCACTCTCGCTGATTCTACCTGTGCAGTGAGGACCCATGAGGGCCAAACTTTGGAGTATGTTCAATCTTGTTTGGAGTATGGGGCCAATTTATTTTTAAATTCTTCAATGACATAGATTCAAGTAAGTGGAATAGACAACAAATAGCACTAGACGAGACATGTCTTTCCTTCCAACTTACACTGATTTAGACCTGGAGCTTTTACAAAGATACCAATAAAGGGCCATGCCCTGCAGTTTTGGTGGGCACTGTCTAATAATGCAATGTCTGATAAGAAATGCAGGGAGGCAGGGAAAGCAGATCCGGCTGCTCACTAGCAGATGGGAGAAGCAAGGCTCTTCCCATGGCAGGGAGGGACTGTCTGTGGAAGAAAACTTCCCCACCAAACCCACGGCAGGAGAAGTTCCCCAAAGCCTTGGAGGTGCAGGCATTTCTGTATAGTTTTTTCCTCCTTTAACCAGCAGGAATAGATTTGGATCACACTGAAGCAGACTGGCCAGAATGGACTCCATTCTAGATTAGCCTTTCAAACAGTTCCTTTTCTAGGACAAATAGTCACTCAGAGAATAACAAAAGAATTCTGGCTGTCCTGATCTCTCCACTTGCAGTGGTTCTTGGGAACTGGTAAGAGTGGGAAGGGGATAGGGTGTGCAACAAATTGAAGGGGAATGTCGCTCTGGACATGTTATCTATATGGCTGGGTTGAGGATGTGGAGCTATGCCATAGTGACATTAAGAATTGTAGCCTTATAAAGAAATTAGGGGTGACAGATGACATGGATATTTGGTAAAAACATTTTTCTGACTCTCTTTGTCAGTGGCAGCAGGTCTGGTGAAAGACACCTCAGGAATAAATCCCACTCGAAGCGCCTCGTGGTGGACTAACCAGTGATCTTGGGCTGCTACTAAACCTCTGACCTCAGGAGTCCCTTCCAGCCCAATTCTCCAGGGTTCTTTGCAGCTCTAAATTTTCTGATTCTGTGGCCTCTTAGAAAATGTCTTTTGGATTATAAGCATATTGTATCTAGTCTTCGACTTGTTTGTGTTGCTGCTATTTGAGAATTCAATCAGACTCTGAATGTGCTAGCAGAACAAACAATTTAAAGAAAATTTCTTATTTTAGGGGAGGGAGAGGAAAGGAGATAATAAAGTGACTAAGCATTCCATAATTTTTCAAGCATTTAATCTATATTTTTCTAGCGTGCTTCTGCTTAAGTGGGGTTCATCTTTAACTCAAGGCTGCAATGCCTATAGGTCACTTTGGTCTCAGCGTTAATGCCCAGGTCCTGTCCTCATTTGGCAGTGTGCAACCTAAGCTGTATATAATATCTCATGTAACGTAAAATGGAGGAATGTGAACCTGGAGTAGGAATCTGGAAGTATCTTAGCCCCTCAAAGAAAAGCACTATAGAAACATAGGCTGTTATCACCTGTGATATCACCTTTTTTAAAAGTAGGAGACAAAAATCTTCAAAACCATCAATCTTTTTTTTTTTTTTTGTGGTACACGGGCCTCTCACTGTTGTGGCCTCTCCCGTTGCGGAGCACAGGCTCTGCACACGCAGGCTCAGCGGCCATGGCTCACTGGCCCAGCCGCTCCGCGGCATGTGGGATCTTCCCAGACCGGGGCATGAACCCGTGTCCCCTGCATCGGCAGGCAGACTCTCAACCACTGCGCCACCAGGGAAGCCCAAACCATCATTCTTGAATGACACTCTGCTTTCTTGCTGATGAAAGTAAATGCCAGGATCAGTCTTTGGCAAAACTGAGAAGGGAACATTCGCCCTCCCCATTTTGGTGCCGTTTCTGCTCTGTCTACCTATCCCACTACCACTTGTCTCCTTAAGTACCTAGGGTCTTAAGACTAAGTCAGAAAATGACTGAATGTTAAGCATTTGCAGATTGATGTGAACCTGTCTCTATACAGCACTTGTCCCAAGGGTATCTATATTCTAAGCTTCACTTCTAATTGTAGCCAAGGAATTACAAGCTTCACTGTGAAAGTGATGGTAGTTGGGGAAGAGGGGAGATGGGGATCTTTTGCCAGCTATCCGTGGGGTATACATAGGACTGCCCTACAAATCAGCACCTGTAATGACAGTATTGACTTCTAAGACTAAGGAACTTGGAACTCTTGCAGAATTATACAAGTCATTAATATACAGATACACACATTCATACCTACACAAAACACACATGTATATGTATGTAAATCAGTAGGATGCTGAACGGCTCACTACTGTCTGGATTGTAATATACCAATGACAAAATTCTGATCCTAAAATTTAACCTCCAGACCTAGTAACCATTTGCTCTAATAATTAAGTTCTGTCCTCTAACCCAAAGGGCTCCTAGTGAACATTTGGAGAATGGGTTCATGGATCAGCCAGACATGTAAAAGAGTCTCTACAGTGGCATAAATTATTATTTTAAGCATTTGTGGGAAGGGAGGGCTAGGAGGAAATGCCATGTCTTTACAACACCAAAAGGACCAGTTTGGTAGCTCAAAAACTCTGTCAAAATTGGTTCCAAAATAGTTGTTTGCCTAACATATCTATTAAGATTGAGTTCTTAGATCTCTAAAATCTATGCAGGTAACTAGATTGTGATATCAAAATTCTACCTTCACTCTTTCTTTTCCGAGGAAGAAGGCAGTGGCGTGCAGGACATCAGCGGCATGAGTGGAGTTGTGGTAAGCGTTGGAGGAGTGGTAGTTGGATTCAATCACTTGGAGCCAGGCCCGAAGGGTAGTTTCAGAACAGTGTAAAAATTCACATACTCCAAACCGGGAAAAGACTTTTAAGCCCAGGTAAACCAATGGCCTGGAAAACGGGGGGAAAAAACTCTGATTCATTGTATTCACCGCTCCAGAAGCTGCTTTCTTTGAAGCTACTGGGAAATTGAGTCATTTCTTTCCTGATGCTTCATAGGCACAGGGGTATAAAAATATGTCGTCTCCAAATTAGAAGGTGATAGAGCATCTCCTCCTCACTAGCCACTTCTTTAAAACTAGGTGCCTCACGGTGGTTAATCCAAAGGACTTCTAGACTGTCTTAAGTCATCTGCCCTTCAGTGGCTCTAACAACCGAGAGGTCCCTGACAGTCCCTGTCTCTGCTTCCACGTAACCTTTGTACTTCCTGTGTCCCCTGAGGAAGTTACTGAGCTTAAGGACAAAAGGAATGGCTTGTGTGGGTTCAGCAAAGGCATGTCATTTAGAATTAAGTTACTTATTTATAGTTATCATTCATATCCAACACCCCTGGAAGAAAATGGACTTCTGTAATAGAAGAGGACTTTCTGTGTTATCTAATCTTTCCCCTGCCTATAGGATGGATCAAAAGAAAAGTCTACAGTGCTCTCAAACTCATTTTGTAAGGTGGGACTTGAACAAGTTTGGGGCTAGGAATACTTAGAACTCTTGGCTCACTGGCGCAAAGGAATGACCTGGGTAGATCTGAAGAAGACACTCAGTATTTCTGCATCCTGGGTATCACCAGGCTGATCCCACATCTTAGCCTCCAATACTCTCTTCTCCATAAAGGAGCTCACTCAAGGGGCCACAGTCTCTCTGCGCATTTGACACTCCTCCAGCATGGCATGAAAAGCAGAACCTGGGAGGTCACTTGTGGCAAGGACTCACATCTCCCTCAAAGTTTCCAGATGTGAAAGTCTTGAGTGTGTCCATCAATCCTCCCCCTGCCTACAGCCAGAGAAGCCACATACCTTTTGTGTGTCACAGCTTCCAATTCAAATATGTTGAACTCCCAGCTTTCCTCATTATCAAGTAATTGAGCGATAGAAGGGGGGACATCGTTGATGGTTACTGGCATCCCAAGGTGACTGTGACTCTGGGGCACATCTGAGCAAACAGATGGGGCAGGAAGGGTGGGTAACTGTGGAATCTTGAGTGCTGCTAAGCATTTGTCATCTTCATGGTTGCTACTAGAAAGAAAGTCTTGAACTTCCAGGGGTAAGAAGATTTTCCCTTCAGGGTTCTCTTACATTATTAAACTTCAGGACCCCCCAACAGAAAAATAATTCAGTTTAACTGTTTAAATATAGAGAGATTTGCAATTCTTATTCTGACAGCGCTCAGAGAAGTAATTTATATTAGGAGACCTGGTTTCAAATGTAGACCATAGAGATGCTTAAACTCCAATGAGACGAATAGAAAGTATCACCAAGGCCCTTCCCAAACAATAATCACAACACTGAGGAAGACAAAAGGCCAGAGACAGGTTACCAGTGACAAGTGGATAGAGGACAACTTACTCTTGGTGAACACATACTCGTTTCCTGACAACCTTCTCAAGCCATCCTGGAATAAAGAAAGATGCTATGAGAAGCATGCTTTATATGCCATTATCATTACTCTCTCATTTCTTTTATTAGCCAAAGAGATTTGAATCCTGAATAACCCAGTCAATCTGGAACTCCAAGTTGAAGCTCAAAATCAAGTGAGAACAATGGCTACAAAACAGTGGATACTCTCCTTTCCAAGGCTGTTAGCCCCAGGAGATGGAGAATTGAGAATTAAGTGGCTATGACTGCATTCAAGTCTCACACCTGAACTGTGAGTTAGCTCTGTTCTCATGCCATCTTTCTCTTGTTGCATATTGAAGCCACATAATGAAATCACAGAAGTGATCTTGCTTCGGGTGCCTGTTAATTTGAAAGGACCCCAATTACCCTCACCAGGACTGTGTTATTCTTGTGTTCTTAGATTTGCATCCTGGGGAGCCAAAGCTATGGGCCACATCTGGGGGATGATTTAATGTAAAGCCTTTAAAAGGTTGGGCTAATTTTTGACTAACATCTAAATTAACTCTTTTCCAGCTGTAGTTTCTGTCTTATAACATGAGCTTCACTGTTAGCCTTTAAAGGAAGTTTCTGGATTTGAGGTCTTTGGAAGGGCAGCATAAGGGAGTGAACAGAATTTCGATGTTCTGCCATTTAGTAGGCTCGTGAACTTTAGTCCCCAGCTGTTCTTGCATCTCATTTTCCTGCCCTCTACCTTCTACCCCCGAGTACCTAATTATTTAGACCTCTGCTTAAAAGCCATTTGTAATTGCTTATTTGTCATCCTCAGAAAGTATGTGCTAAGGTTTAAAGTATTAATGAAGGGCTCTCCTGAAGTCACACTCTGGATATTTAGGCCAAGAGCTTAATTTTCAAAACTGGATAAATTGATAAGTAACAATGGCCATAACCTTCCTGCCTCTAAGGCAGGTATCACAAGGAACTCCTCTGTTCTTAATCTTTCTTTCTTCTCTTCCCTAATGCTACATATAAAAGGGGGAATCTTGTACTGGTTCCTCACACCATTTCCTGGAGAGGAAGCCCAACATGGTATGGCAGCAGGGGAAAGGAGGGCAGATAACTTGTTCTAGGAACCAGAATGGTTCTGCAGCTCTGCAGTGGCCAGCCTCCTGACAGACCCTTGGCAGTGTTCTATTTTTTTTTTAATTGCAGTATTTTTGATTTACAATGTTGTGTTAATTACAGGTACACAGCAAAGTGATTTGGAGATATATATATATACCTTTTCAGATTCTTTTCCATTATTACAAGATATTGAATATAGTTCCCTGTGCTATACAGTAGGTTCTTGTTATTTATCTATTTTATATATAGTAGTGTATATCTGTTAATCCCAAACTCCTAATTTACCCACCCTCCCCCCAACATTTCCCCTTTGGTAACCATAAGTTTGTTTTCTATGTCTGTGAGTCTATTTTTGTTTTGTAAATAAGTTCATTTGTATCACTTTTTAAGATTCCACATATAATTGATATATCTGTCTTTCTCTGTCTGACTTACTTCACTTAGTATGGTTATCTCTAAGTCCATTCATGTTGCTGCAGATGGCAAACACACACACACCTTGCCAGTGTTCTTTAGAACTAAAGTCTACACTGCATTGGGATCGGGCAACCAAGGCCAGCCGAGGGGCTCAAAAGGATCAGGAGGTCACTCAAATTACAGGCTCACCAGAAGCCTTTAGTAGGAACAAGGAGGATGGACCAGAAAGCCAGTCAACACTCAGCATTTGGTGGCAGGACTAGACAGAAAACTTCAAAGTAAAACTCTTCGATGACTCTTGGACTTTGTTTTTCTCCCAAAGAATTCTTCCAGCTTCAGTCTCCAATAGGGAGCACAAATGAATAATTTGAATTTTCTCATTTTTCTTCACTTGCTGATAGATTATGATTACAGCCAAATAGATCACAGCAAAAACACTAGAACAGGATGACTCCTTAGAAATAAGCTACTTTTAGTGGTTACAAATGGTGGTATTGGAGTGCCAGCATGGGGCGGCTCCTCCTCCCCTCCCCATACTGAGCCACAGCAGCTCCACTCTGCTTTTATTGATTGTAAAGGGAACTCTATATAAAGGTTTTATTTAAAGAAAGAATTCTACAGCTAAGATTTTGGAAACTAGTGCTGTCATCTAAGTACCAACGCTTTCATTATATAAAGAGCCTGAGGTCCAAGGAATCCTAGCCGTAACCCTCAATGGAATACTGTACCAGGTCAAGGGAAAGAAGTACAAAAGGGCTCCATTGTGATATTTAGCCTTCAATCAACTATTTACTCCTTACTGTAGTACAAATTCAGAGGACAAATTAGTCATTTGTGCTCCTGCAACTGCTTCTGGTTATGCTGATGTTAGCCCATACAGCACGTATTTCTACACCTAAAGGTAACAGTTTATATGTTACATGTTACATGTTCTCTGGAGTGCACTTAACATTGTCCTGCATTTCTGGGTTTTCCTCATCACTCACAGTCATCAGGCCTCCCACGAGATCACTGGTGTGGGGATCTTCATCTTTGGTACCCAGCTGAGGGGAGTACAGTTCTGTGGTCCGTAAAATTTCTAAAACTCTGTCCAAGGCTTCTGCTACTGTGACAGGACTGTTTTCTTGGGCTGCATTGATTATATTTATAACCTAAGGAAGTAAAGAGAGAGAAAGAATCAATTTGAGGACATTAGGATTCTTCTTCTCAAAACTCACTCATGTGCCTAGAATCCAAAAGAAATCAGATGATAACACATCTTACTGTTCAAAATGACCAGTGCTTTCACGGCACCACCCTCTTTATACTGAAGCATGCTTCTCATCCCACCCTATCCCAGTGTTTCTCTTACTTCAGGGACTACATTTTCTCAGGCTCCTTTGCTGATCCTTCTCCTTTAGCTCTCTTCTACAGGTTGCAGTTCCTCAGACTAGTGCTGGGCCTTCCTCTCACTCTACAGTCCTTTCAGAGATGAGCTCTTTCATTTCCAGGACTTTGGACACATACGATCCACATGCCCAGGACTCTCAAATTTATATCCCAGCCCTGAACTCCTTTTTGACTTTCAGATTTATATATTCAGTTGCCTGCTTGACATGTCTGTTGGAATATCTTACTTACATATCCAAAACTAAACTCACACCTTGCTCTCCTCTTCCCAAAGCAAAGCAAGCAAGTAAACCAAACAGAAAATGAAAGACAAGAGCTGTACTCCTCTGGTTTCTACATTGCCGTGAAAAAAAGATATTAATCTTGTGCTCAGACCAAAACCCTGGGAGGCCCTGGTTGACATATCACTTTCCCTCAATTCTCTCCCTACCTGACAGTATAATTCATCATCAAGACGAACTGAATTTACCCCCAAATATTTCCTGATCTACTCATTTCTCTCCACCTCCACTGCTCTAATTCTAGTACAGCTAACACAATTTCTTGCTTAGAATTCTGGAAAAGGTCCCTAACTGTCCTCTTCTCTTTCACTCTTGCCATCTCCAGTCCATTCTCTGCATGGCAGCTTGGTGTTATTTTCAATAAACGTATCTGGTCATGTCACTCCCCTACTTTAAACTCTTCAGTGGTTTCCGTTGCACATGAACTAAAATATAAACTTATTACAGCTCTATTGGCCAGAATGAACTGAGCCCGGCACAACTCCATGTCACCATTTCTCCCCTCTGCTCTCCAAGCTCCAGTCACACCTGACTTTCTTTCAGGTCCTCGTTTGCTCCATTCCCTCCTTTTCCCACCTCAGTGCTCATGCCTTGCTGTGCCTGCTGCCTAGAATCCTCTTCTCCTAACATCTTTGTATCCTTCAGGTCTTACTTCAAACATTACTTCCTCTACAGAGAGACCCTCCCTGACCAGCCCTCTCACCCAACCAAACTAGGGCCCTAACCTAATTTTCCCTCATAGAAACCTGTTGTTTTCCTTTACGGCAGTTATTGCAATTTATAACTACGTATTTATTATGTGTTTATTTGTTTAATATCTGTTTCCTTTACTAGACTGTAAACTCCATGATATAGGTATTAGTACGCCATTCATCACGTTATCTCCAGAATATAGCCTAGTGTTCAGTGGCCCTGATTGCAGAGTCGGGGCAGCAGCTGCTACTCACCTTTGTGATGGGAGCCTCGATGGTCATGGAATGGATCCTTGCCATGGATGGGTAGCGACGATTCTGTAGGCTTGGTGCTGGAGAGAAGTCAAGAAAGTTGTATCTGGTTCTAGTGGCTCAGCTGCGCTGAAGTGCAGCAAAGGAACCCTGCACGGACTTGGGGGCCTGATTCCCACAGGACTGCTGTCCTCCACTGCTCCCCATAAAGCAATGAATTCACCCATCTCTTAGTCCTAAAAGGCTGAGAGCTCAGCCACTACTTGCCAGGGACTGGAAAGGGTGGTCTGGCCTGGAACATTGATGACAGGAAGGCTTTATGAGTCTCAGGTCCACAGGGGGATTTCAGAGAAGGTTGATGGGATCCGGAGGCCTCATCCCAACAGCCTAATGATCCCCCAGGAGTTACTTTCCCGTAAGTCACTAAAGCCCAACTTGGGCAGTTCCGTCACTTTCAGTCCTCAGCCACAGGCCGGGTAACTGGATGACTGTAGTGTAGGAGGGGAGGCACGATCCGTGGCCAGGGTGGGGTGGGCAGAAGAATGAGCCCCTCTTATTCTGAGTTAGGGCCGGGCACTCCTAAGACTTTAGGTTCTTAGCACCAGGAGCCCACGGTGGGTCTAGCTCTCATCTGTAAAAACTGAGCTAATCCCGTTGAAATTCCTTCACCCATTATCCTCTCCATCTAAAATGTCCTATCTTTACATGTGGTTCAAAATCCAAAAGGTAGAAGCTTTATTTGAAAAGCATTGTTCTCCTCAGATCTTCCTACCCCTCCCTGAGAGGCAGGCAGGAGGGAATAGAACTCGCATGTTATAGAGCTGATAACTTAATGTAGCTGATGTCAGCAGAGCCTGCCTGCCAGTCAGCCATCTTTGTAGCCATCTCCACTGCCATAGCAGCCACCATTGCTGCCCTTCTATACTCTTCAGCCTTCACTTCTCCCATGCTCTGGAGAGAGAATGGATGATCCCATCTCAAACTCTATTCTGAAAACTGAACTAATCCAGTTGAAATGCCCTCATCCATTATCCTCTAAAATGGATACCCTCTTCATCTATCTACACCCTCAGCCCATCGGGAAAAATTTCAGTCCATTTTCTTCCTTCACGTTCTTGGTCCCAATCCCTTGCATGCCTTGTGGTCTATCCATCTTCCTCTATGAATTATACATCTTATCCCTAGAGTCTTTGGTCCTTGCTAGTTCAGCCACTTCTCTCAGGCTCAGGTTTCCCATTGTGACCTGAAGGACCTGAAGGATAGCAGCTAAGAGTGACCTAGCTATTGAAACTGAGCTGCTCTAGTGGTTATGTGGCCTAACACACGTTAGGCCATAAAGGAACAAGCATGGAGTCATTTCACAGAAAAGGCAAAGACTATATAAAAAGTAAAAAAAGAATAAAAAGGCCTAAAATTTTTTCCATCTACAGGAAAAAAGCCAGTTTAGTTGTAATCCTATTCCTTGGGGTTTTGTTTATATGCTGAGGAATTCTTAAATATATTCCTGTGTCATTTTCTACACTTTAAAGTCAAGGAAATCTGAAAAACTTACCATCACTGCCTCGAGATGATATTGATTTCACATCAATGGACTCTTTCCTCCTGTTCTTGTGTCTGAATGAATGAGACTCTAAGGATTTCAGAGTAGTAATTGAGAGTGATTAGTTTTCAAGCTTATTCACAGGCAAAGTTTAGACATATTTCTTCCCTCATTCTCCAAAGAAAACGAGGTTACTTTTTAAGCACTGTAAAATATTTTTAAGAAATAGTGAGCCACTGTCTCTTCAAATCATCAACACACACAGAATTATCAGTCATATTAATTGTAAAATGACATCTTTTCCTTGTGGTACCACATTACATTGTAATGGAGCTTATTATTAAGGGTTACTTAGTCCCATTAATAAATATCTTCTTGAAAATAAACATTAAAACTTGAGGGAAGGCTTCCCTGGTGGCGCAGTGGTTGAGAGTCCGCCTGCCGATGCAGGGGACGCGGGTTCGTGCCCCGGTCCGGGAAGATCCCACATGCCGCGGAGCGGCTGGGCCCGTGAGCCATGGCCACTGAGCCTGCGCGTCCGGAGCCTGTGCTCCGCAGCGGGAGAGGCCACAATAGTGAAGAGGCCTGCGTACGGGAAAAAAACAAAAACAAAAACAAAAAACAAAAAACAAAAAAACAAACGGGGGGAAATTTTGAGGGATTCATTTTGACATGAAGGACAATACATTTCCATGGGTGGGGAAGGCTTCTATGGGGATATTTGAGGAAATAAAATACTAGTCAAGTTCACAGAGAGTAGAGTTTGAGAAACTAATTTGGACCAAGTTTAGGTCCCTCTGTAAAAGACCTCTTGATGGTTTTCTAGGTTCTCCTGAGGATATGATTTCATCAAATGATGCAGACTGTTGATCCCAGGAATGAAGAGAAGAAAAAGCAGTTTTCTAATCCGAACAAATTCCAACAATTTAACTCTCACTTTTGTCCTTGTTTTCTGAGGGAAAAAAAATCTGTGTAAGTCTTTGCAGACTTTGAATTTAATGCTTAAAATGTGCTGTCACATTAATGTGAGATCTAATCAAACGGTGCATGCTACCAGTGAGGACCAAAGGATAAAAATGTCAGGGCAGCAGAGGTGGCTTCAGAAAATTGCATTTTCAGGGCATTTGCTTCTTGTAGGAGTAACCCATGAGCAAGGAGAGAAACTTAGCCATAACACAGAATTTCTCCTCACTGTGCAGAATGGAGGCAGATGTGCAGGTTTCAGCAGGGGGATGCTTTTCTTAGACACTGATAAATGATCATATTCCAAGAAAGAAAAGAAGATGCAATGCTTTTTAAAGAACTGTCTACTGACACCAAAAAAAGTGCAAGAGAGCATAGTAACTAAGATAACCAGTTCCAGAGCCAAATTGCCAAAACTCCAATCTCCACTATGCCATCTAATACTGTGCAACTTTGGGAACGTTCCTTCTCTGTGTCTCAGTATCCACACCTGCAAAGTGGGGATAGTTATAGCACCGCATTCATAGGCTGTTGTGAGATGTAAACAAGTTAATTCATAGATAGCACTTAGAACAGTGCCTGCTACATAGTAAATATAAAGTTCATGTTTGCCTATTATTAATTACATTTGTTCATCTGCATGTATACCTCTTTTTAAGCAAATGTGGGATCATGTTATAATATTATTCTACTACTTGCTATCACTTTATAGTATGTCTTAGATATTTCTTTAGCTCACCTTTTTAACCATTTACTTTAATGTCATTAAACATCTGATTCAATTTTAAAAAGGTTAAATCAGTAATGAAACTTGAATTATATTTATATAGCATAAAGTGGAAGGCAGAACTATTATAAAGTTAATCTGAACAACATAGCCAGCCATAAGACCTTGTCTTAAATACCTAACTTAAACTATTTTACTACCCCGTTGCCTAATTTCCTTTCAGACCCTGCCTTAATAATTTTCCTAGCCTTGGATTTGAGTTTCAGTACTTCTTTATAAGATACCTATAAAATTATATTGTTAAGATCATATTACATCTTTCAAACCCTGAGGAAATAATAGTGGTCACTTGCAAGACATTGGATTTAGCCTATTACATTTAGGAATGTAATAATCATACACATTCCTAACAGTTGTTTACCAGATAACAAATTAAATCTAACTTATTAAATATTTAAGATTAAATTCAGGATTAAAGAGCACAAGAATTCCTCAAAATGTAGTTTACAAATAAAACTAAACTAGGGAGGCTATAGCCCAGGCTGGCTGGTTGAATTCTAAATCATTCACTAGAAATAATTATTCAAAGATGGATAATGCTTATTCTTTCTTTTATCTCAGCTAAAATTAAGAAAATCTATAGCAATAGAAAAGACTAAAAGTTTGGAGAGATTATTTATTCAATAAAGGCCATTTAAATCAAAGAATTCATTTATTCATTCTCTCAAAAGATGTTGTGGAATGAACTTTAAAACCAGAGAAAAGAAGGATAAGAGAGATTCAAATAGCTATACTCAATGGCAAAAAAGGATACAGTGTCATCAATTAAAAAAAAAATAGCTACCACTTACTGAGCATCTACTATGCACCAGACATTGTGCCTTACTATTTATTTTAAATATAGTAATTATCTTACATAATCATTACAATTCTGAAAGCTACATAGTGCAATCCCCATTTTACTGATGAGGAAATTTAAACTTGGAGAGATTATGTGGGTAGCTTAAGGTCCAAGAGTTAATAAATGGTGGAACTTACGCTTTCCAAGATGGGATGGTTTCAGTTAATCAATGTTCTGTATTTATTGAGTGTCTATTATGTGCAAGGCAATACTGGGCACTGTAAAGGATATGAAAATGCTTATAACAGTTTTTGACACTCAGAAGCTCTTAAGTAAGTTAAAATAATACTCTCACTAGGTTAAAGAAATAAACTAAAACATCTGTGAAAGAGAGAGACAGAGAAAAAGTGTAGAGGGAAGAGGAGAAGGATACCAAACAGTTAAACGCCAGGTACTGCTAGACATTATATACATTTTCTCCTTTAATTCTCATAGGCATTGTTAATTCATTTTACAAATGAAGAACTGAAGCTCAGAAAGAGCAAATGAAATCTTTCTGAGTAGGTAAAAATATGGTCCATTTTAGAATCCAGGAAAGGCACTAAAGTAAGTAGCCCAGGGTCCAACTTTATGCCTCAGTGGCTGGGAAAGCCACCAACAAGGGAGAGAATGTGTGGTGTGTGTGCAGGAACGAGAATTTTAAATCTTTGGTAGCAGACTGATTTTCCCCTCTAATGATCAAAGAATTCTAGACCTTTCAAATGTAGAAGTCATTAGCAGCCTCCTCTTTTTATGGCAGAGGAAACCAGGAGTCAGGCAGTGAGAGTCTTGCTCAAGGTATGATGTGAGGATGTGGGCAGCTGAAATGGTGATTTGCTGCTCCTGACTGCCTGGCGAGGGCCCATTCACATCTTCTAATTGTATGTAGTCACTGACTGCTGCAAAGAAAGCGAAGACTAACTATGGTATAATAATGTGTGTCCCCTGGACTTTCAGGCCACTCTCTATTTTCAGTTTATCTTGCTCTCCATGGTTTCTAGTCAGCAAAAGAAACCAGGATGAAGAAGGCATTCAGTAGAAAAGGTTGCCGTGAATGAAGATTCAAAGCTTTTTAAGGGATCCTGCTTTTAACCTCGCTCTCAGACCTTTCAGTATCAGCACTCAGATATCAGCAATCCAAGTTCTGGGGTGGTGACTGTCAATCCAGACTTCTTCAGAGTGATTCATAGACTTGAACCCACAAATTCCACCTGAGTATGTATGAGTGAAATTGAAGTATTCTCACCTGTTTGAGAATTATCTCCTGAGTCACGATGAACCTTGTGAATCTAAAGTTGTTCAGAAGTTTGGTAAAGCAAGAAAAAGAGATTTAAAATATGGTATTAGTTACATTTCCAGCCAAACAATTTCATTAAAAACTCTGAAAAATTCAAGAAAACAAGAAGTTGCACAGATAATATGAACAGATGAAAGATGGACACCAGCTGATAATACTACAAATTCTCTGTTACATCCAGACACTTATAGAATGCTTGAGCCTGACAGCAGGGAGATACCCAAGGGATACACTTTCTAAGCAAGACGTCTAGACCTCCAGTCAGCTGTTCTCATTTTGACAGTCTGCAGAAATGCAGAAAGACAAAAAACCAAAATTTAAGATTTTTATATGTACTCTGTTTATATTTCAGACATGCTATACATTTTTCCTGTAATATAAAAGCAATCTAAATTTAAGCCTAGGATATTAAAAAACTTTCCCCCAAAGCTCTTCAAATGCACTTCAGTTATAGACAGTCAATTTACTAAATGTTTCTTCATAAAGTCTGAACTTTAGATTCAATTTTGCACCTAGTTCTTTCTCGGTATCAATTTTTTTGGGCTAATGCTCAGTACATATCTGTCAACTGTTTAGTGCAGTTATTAACATTAGAAATAATAAATATGCTTTCTTTGGGGGTTCTGTATTTCTGGTGTTTATAACTAAGACACTGTTACTGGGGCACACCTAGCTTTATCATGATTATAATCATGCTGCTTTGCTGCTAAATCCACCTACTTCCAGTTTCTCAAACCATCACACATTTGTAAGCACTGAATGAATGGAATAAATTAACCTGAAAAACAAGACAGATGAGTGTGTAGGACTGTTTATGGGGGGAAGATTAGTATGTTTAGCAGCATCAGCTGTAACAGCCAGAAGTCCCATATATTTCAGATACAGTAAAATGTTCCAGCTTGATTGAACCATTGAAAAATCATCATGTAAAACTGAAGTGTTAAAATAGGGGTTTTATATGAATTATTCTGCACAGTTCATTCCACATAATTACAGAAAAAATTACACAGCCAGCCTGTGTGAGATCTTGGCCTTATATGTGACTAAGGGCTGTGGCTTATTTATCCCGTAACTATGGGAACTTTTTATTTCTTCTGTGAACAACTGTTTTATGTTTTTTCTTTACAAATAAAGATCATTTGCTACAAAGCTACTGAGTGCAGTATGAATTTCTGATAACCAAATGAATACAACTTTTTCTCAGTCAGCTTCAGCTCAAAAGCAAGTGATCTTTAAATGCTTAGCTTTTCTCTTTGACTCACAATACATCTCTCCTTTAGGAACAAAGCCCCATGGCCACTTTCTTGTCTTTCGTTGACTTCTGCAGGCCAGCTGATTGAACTGTGGGCCTCCTAGGAGGTCAGTGTAGGCTTTGTGCTCCATCTAGTCTCGACGGAACTAGATGAAGCCCAAGGTCCAGCAGATGCACAGTCCAACCCTGCCTTTGGGTCGGAAATGTGCACCTGCCCCTGAAGGGAGAAGAGGGGACAGGGAGGAGGGGAGAGGAGAGGTACCGGGTCTGTCTGCTGAGGTGGCTCTGGACTTTCTCCACACAGGATGTTGCATTCAGCGATTTCTGAGCTGAGCACGCTGCATCCCCATAAACCTGTGGCCCTCAATTGGCTCATCTGTCTCTGATGGGCTCTTCGTTAGGGACAGCAGCAGAAACTGGAAGTACTCCTCAAACAACCAATCACCACTTGCTTTGCACGCAGAGGTTCTGCAGGGCTGTGTCAGGTCATAATTCCCTTCACAATCCTCTGTGGTAAGAGCAGTGCCTGAGGACAGTTTGCCCATCACACCCCAGCAGTGCTAGGTTTTTACTGAAGCTTCCAACTCAGGTTATCTTCCTGCCTCTCCCAGATATCTCCTTTTACAACCAAAGATTCATGTGAATGAAAACAATTCTTTTAGAATTACAATTTTCTTCTTGGAAGGCTAAACCCACCCATCATTTATAACTTGGTATGAATGCTTTTATTAAAATTATTTCCTCAGGGCTTCCCTGGTGGCGCAGTGGTTGAGAGTCCGCCTGCCGATGCAGGGGACACGGGTTCGTGCCCCGGTCCGGGAAGATCCCACATGGCGTGGAGCGGCTGGGCCCGTGAGCCATGGCCGCTGAGCCTGCGCGTCCGGAGCCTGTGCTCCATCCGCAATGGGAGAGGCCACAGCAGTGTTTTTTTACCGCAAAACAAAACAAAACAAAAAAACCCAAAATTATTTCCTCATAATTCTCAGTCAGGTTCACTGAAGAAATACAGAGAACGAGTGGTCCTGTAGTTTGGCACTCTCTGGTGGGCAGCCAGGAGAGGCCTGTGGGCAGGAAGAGAGGAGGAACCACTTCTCCTGTGACCAAAGCAGCCATCTCTTACATGTTTGCACGGTGCTAGCAGCTCTACATTTACAATCTAGTCATTACAGCACCCTTGAAAGGAGGAAAGGTTGTCATTCCTTCTGACAGATGCAGAAGCTGAGGTTTCGAGAAGTTGAGGGGCTTGTCTGAACCACACAGCTAGCACGCAGCAGATCCCAATTTCAAACCCAGCTCTCTCCATCTAAAACCACTTCTCTTTGTCACGTTGCTCTCTACAGTCAGGCCCCAGAAGGGAAGCCCCGGCGCAAGCTTGTTAAACTGGGGTCTGAGGACAATATCCCTGGGTTCAGTGAAGGGCATGTGTCTGAATACAATTTTCTGTGTAATTTTGGGGAGGGTTTCAATCTCTGCTATCGATAGGTTTTGTCACATGCATGCTAAAGCAAAGAAGAGAAATCGTAATTCAATGGTTACACGTCAGCCAATCTCTCCAGAGTGTAGTGTTTTTGTTTTCCCTTTTGTAATGGAAATGCATACAGTAATGACTAAGAATTCTGATATCATGTGTCCCCCAGGCTTCAGCACTAAGGTTCTGCAATGTGAATACTGCTGGCCTTGCCTGTGCCACTCTTGCCAGAGCTCAAAGCTGGAATTTCTTAGCAAGGCCTTGGAAGCTTATAGCCTGTTTTTTGGGGGAAAAAAATCATAATTCCAATCTTTTAATTCCTTAAAATACTATAGGTTCCCACAAGTGTTACTGTCCTTGTGCTAAATGCTTTGTGTACAGATACCTGATTATGCTTGGCTCAAAAGCACTACGAATTCTGGGTGTGTGTGTGTACACGTGCGTGTATGTGTGATTTCAGGGTCATTTGATTGTTTTCCTCTTAAAGAATAATCATTTTAAGACGATATTTTCTTTACACATCCACCAGAATGTCTAAAAAGGAAATTCTGTCAAGTATGTGGAACAAGTAGAACTCTCACATGTTGGAGGGTGTATAAAGTGGTACAGACACTACGAAAAAGGTCTGGTAGTTTCTTACAAAATTAAACATATGCCTACACTATGACCCAACAAATAACATACAAGGGAATCCCCATAAGGTTAACAGCTGATCTTTCAGCAGAAACTCTGCAAGGCAGAAGAGACTGGCAGGACATATTTAAAGTGATGAAAGAGAAAAACCTACAACCAAGATTACTCTACCGAGCAAGGATCTCATTCAGATTCGAGGAGAAATTAAAACCTTTACAGACAAGCAAAAGTTAAGAGAGTTCAGCAGCACCAAACCAGCTTTACAACAAATGCTAAAGGAACGTCTCTAGGCAGGAAACACAAGAGAAGGAAAAGACCTACAATAACAAACCCCAAACAATTAAGAAAATGGTAACATAGGAAGACACATATCGATAACTACCTTAAACATAAATGGATTAAATGCTCCAACCAAAAGACACACACTGGCTGAATGGATACAAAAACAAGACCTGTATATATGCTGTCTACAAGAGACCCACTTCAGACCTAGGGACACATACAGACTGAAAGTGAGGGGATGAAAAAGATATTCCATGCAAATGGAAATCAAAAGAAAGCTGGAGTAGCAATTCTCATATCAGCCAAAATAGACTTTAAAACAAAGACTATTACAAGAGACAAAGAAGGACACTACATAATGATGAAGGGAATCAATCCAAGAAGAAGATATAACAATTGTAAATATTTATGCACCCAACATAGCACACGATAAATAAGGCGAATGCTAACAGCCATAAAAGGGGAAATCAAGAGTAACACAATCATAGTATGAGACTTTAACACCCCACTTTCACCAATGGACAGATCATCCAAAATGAAAATAAATAAGGAAACACAAGCTTTAAATGATACATTAAACAAGATGGACTTAATAGATATTTATGGGACATTCCATCCAAAAACAACAGAATACACTTTCTTCTCAAGTGCTCATGGAACATTCTCCAGGATAGATCATATCCTGGGTCACAAATCAAGCCTTGGTAAATTTAAGAAAATTGAAATCGTATCAAGTATCTTTTCTGACCACAATGCTATGAGACTAGATATCAATTACAGGAAAAAATCTGGAAAAAATACAAACACACGGAGGCTAAACAATACACTACTTAATAAGCAAGAGATCACTGAGGACATAAAAAAATACCTAGAAACAAATGACAATGGAGACACAACAACCCAAAACCTATGGGATGTAGCAAAAGCAGTTCTAAGAGGGAAGTTTATAGCAATACAACCCTACCTCAAGAAACAAGAAATGTCTCAAATAAACAACCTAACCTTACACCTAAAGCAATTAGAGAAGCAAGAACAAAAGAACCCCTAAAGTTAGCAGAAGGAAAGAAATCATAAAGATCAGATCAGAAATAAATGAAAAAGAAATGAAGGAAACAATAGCAAAGATCAATAAAACTAAAAGCTGGTTCTTTGAGAAGATAAACAAAATTGATAAACCATTAGCCAGACTCATCAAGAAAAAAAGGGAGAAGACTCAAATCAATAGAATTAGATGAAAAAGCAGAAGTAACAACTGATACTGCAGAAATACAAAGGATCATGAGAGATTACTACAAGCAACTATATGCCAATAAAATGGACAACCTGGAAGAAATGGACAAATTCTTAGAAAAGTACA